GATGGGCATATGGGGTGGAATGCTTCTGGGGGTGGGACTGGTATGGGGGTTGGTACTATTCTTGTGTGTTGTGTGGTGATGGGTGGGTGGTGTCTGTGGGTGTGGGGTGGGTGGGGGAGTTGAGGGACTGGTCCTTGTTGTTTGGGGTGGGGGTTGAATGGTGGGGGGTCCTTATTGTGGGGGGGTGGGGTGGGGGTGGTTGGGGTGTGGTGTGTTGTTCTGTATGGGGTTGGGGCGGCTGGGGGTGTATGATGGGAATCTGTTTGTGATGGGTTGGGTTGTCTTGGGGGTGGGGGGGATTGGGAGGCTGAATGCTGCTGTGGTGGGTGATTGGGGGCTGTGGTATGGTGGATGGGGGGGGGTGGTGGGGAGTGGGGTGGGATGCTGGTGATGAGTGAGGTGGTGGTGGGGGGTGGAATTGGTGTGGTGTTGGGGGATTTGCTGGGGGGGATGGGGCTGGTCTGATGGAATGGTGATGTTGATGGGGATGGCTGTGTAATGGATGGTTGTGATGGGGGGGGGGATGGTGTGCTTATGGGTATGGTGTGTTTCTGCATCTGATGGGGTGAGATGGTGGTGGTGGGATGGTGGTGGGGGGCTGGGGGGTTTGTGATGTGATGGGGTGGTGGTTGTTGTGAGTTGATTGGGGCTGGGTGGTTGGGGGGGATGATGGGGATGGGGTGATGGCTTGTGGTTGTGGGTGCTGGGGGCTGGTGGGCAATCATGGGATTTGTGTCGGGTGTCTTGGCTGTGGATTGGGGCGGCTTGCTGTTTTGATGTATGTTGGTTGGGTGGGGATTTGTGGGGGGTGGGTGTGGTGTATGATGGTTGGTCATGGGAGGGGCAGTGATTAGGGGGGGACTTGTGGGATGATTTGGGGGTTGTATGTGACATTTTGGTGTATGGTGGGCTGGTTGTGCTGTGTGGGATGTTGGGGGTATGCTGGGGGGGGGGGTGTTGGGGTGGGTGGGGGTGGGCGGCTGTGCGTTGGGGGCTGATGGTGTTGATGATGCATGGGGGGCTTGGGTGGGGTGGGGGGTGGGGGTTGTTGGGTGGGGGGGATGTTTGGGGTCTGGTGGGGGGGGGGGGGTGTGGGTTGGGGGTGCTGGGGGTGTGGTGGTGGGGGATTGTGTGTGGCATGTGATGGTATTTTGGCTTGTTGGGGCTGTGGTGGGTGTGTTTGGTGCTTGCTTGGGTTTGGGGGTGGTGTGGGGTGTTGTATTGGGGGGGGGTTTGGTGGGGCTGATATGGGTTGCTTGATGTTGTGGGGCATTGATGTGGGGGTCTGGTTGTGGTTGGGTTGGGTCTTTGGGGTGGGTCTTTGGGGGGGTGATATGGGATCTGGTGCTATGGGGTGGTGGTTGATGGGGTTGTGAATGGATTTGGTTGAGTTACTGGGGGTATGGTGTGTGGGTGGGTGGGATTGGGGGAGTGGGTGGGGGTGTGTGGTGGAATGTGAGGGGGTATGGGGGTTGGTGGGATGCTGGTGTGCTTGGGGGGGCTGTGTGGATATGTTTGGTTTATGGTTGGTGGTTGACTGGGATGGGCTGGGGGGGTGGGGGGTGTGGGGTTGGTGTGGGTTATTTGGGGGTGGGGCTGATGGGTGGCTGGTTGTGTGGGGTGTTGGGTGTGTGTGGGGGTGGGATCTTGGGGATTGTGGGGGGGGTGGTGATGTGGTTGGTGGGGCTCTGGTCTGGCTAGGTATGGGGGGTGATGGTTGTGTATGGGGTTGTGCGGCGTGGGATGGTCTGTTTGTTGCTGGGGCATGGGTGCTTTGGTGGGTGGCGACTGGGTATGGGTTAGTGCATGGGGGGGATTATGTGGTGATGGGTGTGGGGGGGTTTGGGATGGGGGGGGGACTGTGTGTGGATGGGGTAGCTGAGTGGGCATGTGTGGGTTGTTGTACATACTGTGTGGTATAGGGGGATGGTTTGGATTGGGGTTGATGAATGTGTGGCTGGTGGGGTTGGGGTTTATGGGTGCTCTTTGATGGTCGCTTGTGGCTGGTGTGGATGGTATGTGTGGTTGGTCATTCCTGGTGTTGATTGTATTTGGGTGGGTGTGTGGGGGGGATGGTCTAGGTGTGGGTGATGTATTTTGCTTGGTGGTGTTGTATCATCTGGGGGGATTGGTGTGCTTTGGGATTTGGTGGTGCTGTCTGGTTGGGGCTGGGGTCTGGGTGTGGCTGGGGGGGGGTGGTGGATGGGATGGCTATGGTGGGGTGTCATCTGGATGGGGGGCTGTGGTGTGCTGATGTGGGGTGTCTATTGTGTGTTGGGTGGGGGGTGATGGCATGTGGTTGGGGGTCTTGGGGGGGGCTGGGGGTGACTGCCTTTTTGGGGGGGTGTGGGGGGGGGGTGTGGTGGGGTGGTTGGGCTTGTAGTGGGGGGTGGATGATGGGATGCTTGTGGCTGGTGGGGGGGGCTTTGGTGGGGGCTTGGTCTGGATGGGTTTGGGGGTGGGGTTTGGGGGTTTGCCTTTTGGTTGGGGGGTGGCTGGGTTCGGGCTGGTGTGGGGTTGGGATGATTTGTGGATGTGTGTCGTTTTGGGATGGTCTGGGGTTCTGGGTTGATGTGGGGGGGCTTTTGGAATATTGGTGGGCAGTTGTGTGTTCTGGTGGGGGAAAATCTGGGGGGTGTGATGTATGGTGTGTGGGGGCTGGTTATTATTTGTGTTTGGGGGGGGGTTTGGTTATGTGGGGGATGGTGGTGGGTTGTGGGGTTGGGGTGGATTGGGTGAGGGGGGGGTGGGTTGTGGGCTTGGTGTGTATTGTCTTGTGGGCGGTGGGGGGGGGGTGTTTGTGGTGGGTCTGGGGCTGTGTATGGGGGTGGGGTTGCTGTTTAGGTGGTGGTTGCTGGTGGGGGTTGGCTGGGTGATGGGGATGGGGTGCGGGGGCTTTGTTGGTGACTTTGCTGTGAGGTGGGGTGGGTTGTGTTGTGCGGATGTTATGGGTAGCTATGGGGGTGTGGCTGGGCTGCGGGGGGTGGAGGGGGGCTGTGGGTGGTTGGTTGCTGGGTTGTGCTGTATTGAGCATGTGTTGGGGGGGTGGGGGGTCATGTGGCATTATGGGGGTTGTGTTTTGCTGTGCTGGGTGGTGGAAATATGATGGCTACTGGGGGAGGGTGATGGATGGTGGTGTTGGGGGGGGTATGGTGCGTGGGTGGGATAGTTGGTGTGTTGTGTGGCTGGGTGTGGGTATGGCGTACTGGTGTTTATTGGATGTTTGTGTCGTATTTGTGTTGAGGGCTGGGATTGGGTGTTCTTTGACTGGTGATGTGGGGTGGGCTGGATGGTCGTGGGCTTGGGTTGTTGGGGTGGGGGGGTGTTGCGGTATGTTATGCTGTGCTGGGGTTTTTCTGTGCTTGTGGGGTGAGCTTGTGTGGGTGTGATGGGGGGCCTGCTCTTCTGGATGGGGGTTGATTGTCTTTGGCTCTGCTGGGTGGGTGGTGGTGCTGGGGGCATTTGGGGTGGTATTGGGTATGCTGGTTGGCTTCTGTCTGGGGGTGGGTGGGTTGGGTTCTGGGAATGGGGTTCTGGGGGGTTGTGACCGGGGGGGGGGGGGGGGCTGTTGTGTGGTGGGGGGGGGGGTTTGGTGGTGGTCTTAGGAGGTTTGTGGGGGTGGCCTGTTGGTTGTGGGGCTGATGTTTTGGGTTGGGTGTGGTATGATGCGTTTATATGGGTGCCATCTGGGTCTGGGTGAGGACCTATGGTATTTATGGGGTGGGAGTGGGGGGGGGTGGTGTGGTAGGGTTATCGTGGGGGGGTGGCTGGCTTGTGGGGTGTGTGTTGCGGATGGGGTTTTGTTTCTGGGAGGGGGGGTATGTGATGGGGGATGGTGTTGGTGATGGGAGGTGGGGGTGGGGGGGTGATGGGGGTTTGGTGTGGGATTTGTGGTTGGGTCAGGGGGGTGTGGCTGTTTTGGTGGTTCTTTGCATTGTGTGGTTCTGGTGTTGGGTTGGGTGGGTTGGGTGTGTGTGGATGATGTTTTTTGGGTTGGGATGTTGTGGTGGGTGGGTTGTGATGTGGTGGGCGTTGTATGGGTTGGGGGTGGTGATGTGTCTTTTGGGGTTGGGGGTGTGTGGGGTTTTCTTGTGTAGTGTTTGGGTGGGGGGTGACTGGAACTTTTATGGTTTGAACACAAAACTGTAGCTCTGCACATCTGAGAAATGAGCTGCATCCTTTTTGGTAAACTTGGTAAAATTGTTCTGTTTGTTTATAAAGTACGCATTTGAGTTTGTTCTCAGATATTCCTGTGATCAGTGATCCATTTTTGGCTCACTGAGGTGGTTTGTGCTGGAACGTCTTCCTCTTTCCCCGAGTGTTGCTAACTCCAACCCAGTCTTCGTCTTGTCAGAATTCACAACCCTGAAATTAAAAAAAAAAAAAAAAAGAATTCTCTCCAAATTTCTAAATTTGGAAAAAGAACATTTGGAACTAAAGATGGCGCCACTAGAACAAGGACTAAAACCACTCAAACCCAGTGTTCAGATACGACGACATTCTGTCTGTTTATCTCAGATTTCCAGACAGTTTAACCCAAAAATCAGGACTTTTTCTGATTGGACTAAGAAGTTTTGTGTAGTTGTGCCTTTGATGACCGTCAACAGAGCCTGTTTACATGTTTTAAAATACATTTAATTTTTATACCTTTATTCACAATCAGTAGTCGGATTTTCTGTTGGTTTCCTTTAAAAAATGTAGCAGCGTTAGATTAATGTGAGCAAAAGCATTAATTTATTATTAGCTGATAAAAACTATTATAGTTTTAGTTCCCGGTTACAGTTCTCTGTTTCATACAACAGTCCGTGATCAGTTCAGGTTAAACTTATAACATGGCTAGTCATTTATGGTCCACTCCTGACTGGACTAGCGAGGCGCTGGCTTCGGCTGGCGGAGTGTTAATGTTTAGACGTCAGAGGACACAACAGATTGGAGTGTTTCTGGCTGGAACGGTAAGACGAACTGTTTGTTTTTGTTTGTCTTCTGTGTTGTTTTTGTTACAAGAAAAAATACTTCTACATTCTTCAGACTACAGGATCTAAAAATTCACCATCTTTCAGGTTTGCTCTGAATTATCAGGTTTAATTTGTGATTACAGTATTTATTTTATATGTAGGAATTATTTCATTAAGTTTGAATTATGTTGCATTTCTGTTTTTCAATGAGTGAAATTCACTCATTTATTTCTGATTATTTCCATTTATTTAGTTTTGAGGAGAAAATGACTCACTATAACACTAATAATAGCTAATAATAGACTAATAATCAGCATATTCATCAGTTAATGCTGTAAGCGATTTAAGGGGTCTGAATGAAGGTTCATTAATGGTGCTTCACCTGATCAGCCAATAAAAGAACAGAACTAGTTGGATTTGGTGGTGATCAGTGATCATGTGATCAATACTGTTAAACTTAATAGTAAAACTTGATTCTCTGTTCGTTTTGCTCGGTGTTGCCTGTTTGCTGTAGCTCTTGGTGGTTCAGAGGGTGATGTGGGTTTCTCCTTCTGAGTTTTTCTCCCTGCTGCTGTTTTCTTCCTGCTCTGCAGTCAGTCAGTTTAGTTTAGTTTGAGTTAAATTTGACTTGAAAATAAGCGATTTCTGTAAAATGGCTGTAAATCCTAAAACAAAGTGCAGCGTTTTAATTTAAGTAAAGCCCTTAAATTAAGCTGAAAGTTGGCTCTCAGTCACGTCTGACCGCTGCGTTTCACGACCCCTGTGGTGAACCGAGGGTCGGGGTGCTACTGAAAAATGAGTCAGTAGCTACTTGCAGCTACTTTCCATGTCCCGAAATTTATAGCTACATTTAGCTATTTGGGTCTTTTCCAGAGAAAGTAGAGGCTACATTTCAAAGCGTGACTGTCAGACGTTTGTGAATCTCAAATCGACTCACCAAACAGAGCCCAACTGAGTCAAGACACCTGCATTAATCATAAGCCAGAACACACGATTGAAAAGCTGCAATAAACAAAAAGATCACCAACAGTGAGTTTTAAGTGTAAACATTAAAAAACAATCAGACTTCGCACAACCAAAGGCCTGATATACCATAACAAAAACTTAGACTAAAGGCAAAATCAATCATTCAGGTTTTTCCGAACAAAATCAACAATAACTGTAAACAAACACACACTTGTGCAA